TTTCGCAGATTTAAGTTTCTCGATACCATGAGATATCGGTCAACGATCGGCAGTTTGTATTATATGGGGAAATGTGTGTCGTAGTGAAGGATAAAATGACGTATGCCTATCTTCGCAACGTCGAATTACCTAATTACCTAATAGGCGACCGACTGCATGTCTCAACTCTCTAACTTAAGAGATCTGCGCGAGCAAACGTTTCTAACGGTCGCAATGTGATGAATTGCGTGACGAAATTATCGACTTTTCCTCCGGGGAATAATCCCACGACAACTAAGAAAGGATGTGAATCGCGATAAAAGATAAAGATGATGAAGATAGTTTATTTCCTTTATGTTCAAATTTATCTAATCTTCACTTAAAAAAATAATCTAACTTTACTATTATATTTTAATCTAACTTCTTTATTTTGTCTAGTATTATTTTATATTATTTCATATTTTTTAGAATAAATAAATTGATGCATAACAATATGCTATGTAACTTATGTATACGAATAATGTAATCATCCACAGAACGAGTTAGGAATAAATTTGTAATAGATTGCCAGCGATAATTATGCACTATATAATACACGATATTGCGAAACGATATGGTAGCATGAAAGTAAAAAGTAGGTTTGTATTTTTAGGCCCAGAGAAGTTTTTACCTCCTTTGATCTACCATCGACGATTAGCTCGATGTCTGGCGGCATTGCAGACTATTCTCGGCGTCGCGGTGATTTCTTTGTCATTATGGTTGTTGCTTTGGGCACCGCACCTGCCTGTTATGGATAATCCGTATTGGAGTGGCATGCCCGTAAGTGCAATTATTTCATACAGCGATTAAATTTACATACCATACCATGATAATGCAAGAATACAAAATGGTAATCCTCGCTTATCTAACAAGCTGAGTCTGCTAGAATAGGCGCACTAACATATGGCTGCAATTAGACTTACATATGTATTATAAAATGATATAATCATGCTTTTTAATAATAAGGATATATTGTTTTTGGTATACTATAATCATATGTACCTAATAGTTTTAAGTCAAAGTGATTGTTTATTGGGACTAATCGTAATTTATATTGGTGATTAATGTATCGGTATTAACGGTTTTGGATACACCTTTTATAAAACTTAACATTGTTAAAAAGCTTAATTCTTAATTAATTGAAGGTAAGTATGCAATAAAAGTAATTTTCTTAATAACAAAAATATATTTTGCTCACAAACACTTTTAATTTTATATTTATACAGTGTTATTAATAGAAGAGAAGGTGGTATTATGGCCAGTATATATATTACGGCTTCCCTTATAATATCTCCGCTATTATATAGCGAGTCCTAATAATTACTTATAGAATTATTCAGTAGCTCGCCGTTACATCATGACACTAACATTACCAATACTCAATAGCCAGCACTTATTATAACGCATTTTTACTTTCAAGTATTTCGAAACGTTTCTGAGGTAGATATATTTTAGCATTTAATTATATCTACTTCCTCATTTTTCTTAAACTTGAGCGTATCATCACATGAATATATGTATTTTTGAGAGTGTGTTATTTGTTATTTAACATTTTATGTAACTGTATATATTTTGAGTTATGCAAATTTAAACAATACCATTGCATTTTGCTAATGTGGCCTCTATGGATATTGATTACTCACGACATGTTTTTTGAGGTTTTCATATCAAAATAATTATTTGATGATCAATCGATTGTAGCTGTACTGTTAATCTATAGATTTTTTTATATTACGTGTACTGTTTTTAGTACTGAGCAGCTTATGCAGAAGTTATGTGAATGTATAATATATACATTCATTTGTATACATTTAAAAATATTTTTTGTTAATTTTATAACCAAATACTGTTTTCTAAAGAAAATTAATATTTTAAGGCTGTTTTATGGAAGGTCATTATGCAATATCGCCACATTTTTATTAATAGTATCCTAAGTAATAAATATTTCGTAACTTTGAGTCCAGAATCGATTCAACAACACTTTAACGAATGTAATTGTCAAGTTTTAAATATTGATTATTAACAAAGTTATTGTGTAAAATGTAACTGGGGTGCCATAATACTACCTTCTTCTCTATGAAATAAAATTGTACAGGGTGTCCCATTTTAACCTTCGCATCAAAATATCTTGTAAAAACAAAAATATCATGCATTTTGCAGTATGCAACTATATGTTTTCTTTACATCAATTTATTCATCTCATTATTGTGCGTAAAGAAATATTAAAGTATGATTATTATCAAAAGACTAATATTGTACAAAATACAATGTATATCAAAATAAAGTATAAAATATCTTATAAACTGTATTAAGTTTTCGTTAGTGTTACCAATACTTTTATATGCAGAATAATTAGTGGAATCATATTAGGCAAAAAACTTTTCATTTTATTTAAAAAAATGATCTTCATGTAATCTTAAAAAATCAATTTCCTTTTACATTTATTTTTTAAGGTTACGTGAAGGTTATTTGATTCCCTTTAAATCACCTTTTGTAAAAAACATTTTTTGATATCTTTTATATTTTTCAAAATATTTCAGTGTAAAGGTTAAAATGGGATATGTGTAACTTTAAATGCGTAAGTATGCTGTGCATATTAACACTTTGTAAGTTATAATATTTCTTTGTAATATTTTGTTTTCGTTCAATCGTTTAATATTTTTTATTTCGGTATTTCTAGCTCTTGATGTCCGGGAGTTTTGGAATTTGCCTGTTGTGCTGTTTTAAAAAGGAATATCCAACCTTGACTTCTGGATTTTGTCTTTCCGCCACGAAGGTAAATAAAAATCCTGACTCATTGTAGAGACTTTTTAGAGAAACTTTCAAGGCCGAGCCATTTAATATTCAGCTCGTTTAATTTTTTACATTGTTAAAATAGTACAAGATATGTGTTTAATATACAGCATTATACGTTATTTTACAATAATACATTTAATGTTTCAATTAATTTTAGAAATTTTAATTGTGGAAAAATATCAATTTTATTTAGATTTTATTTGATTTATTAATTCCGATTTATTTCTAAAATAATTATTGTATATTACTTACAAAAATATTGCACATTCTTTTTCTATCACGCTTATATCACGATTCTTCATGATGAGCAGGTAGTTAGCGTATTTTTGGCGGTTCTGGCAACTGTTGCGTGTATGAGCGCGTGCATATTTTCTGCAATACACTTGTCACGTCTTATGGGACTGGAATGCACTCCGGCACGAGTATTAAATGCTACGTGCGTATGCAGACCACGCGGCGAATCGCCTGATTCACTCGAAGGTGTAGTCAGGTATGCCAAAAAATTGGACATAGATTGATAGAATTACGTAACATTTTCTTTCAGAGCATCTAAAAAATCATAAAAATTGAAATATATACATATATATTACATTTTTGAAGATAATCTTTATAAAAAACATTTCGATTTTCTCTTTTTATCGAAAATCTATATTACATAAACGTAATATAAGTTTAGTAATAATCGTATAATTTTTATGTAAAGATGTTAGTTATGCTTTTGAAACATAACAATGTGCATATTTTACTAGATACATCGACCTTAATTGTCCTGAAGTAGAAAATATTTTGACGATCCTCCTCATCTTCTCATGCACTTGTAACGGATTAGGCGTCTTGGTGGCAGGATGGTATAGCTATCTCCACTGGAGCACGCGATACAAAAGGCCAAAGTATACGCAGGTCAGGACCAATACTGTTTCCATGAACAATAAATTCAACAGTAGACCAATCTATAAATCGAACCTGGAGGAACGATGACGTTTGTAAATATAATAATCAAAACGCTTCCATTTCCATTGTGATCCATCAACATCTTCCGTATGATCATTATTGTGATCAGTTATACATATGTACAAAAAAATGTGAACTATTACACATTAATAAATTTTATTTTATACTAATTTATTAACAGAAATCATTGAAAAATACAAAACGTCAAAAATTATTTTTTAAATACATTTTGATATATGAAAAGGAAGAAATAAAAATGTAATCTTTACAAAGACATGAGCAGAAAAAATTTTGTGACAAGATAGAACTGTCCTAGTGTAAACAGCAATTTTATAAAAGAATAAGGATTAAGTATAAGTATGTATATTTATTATTAATGATTAATGATATAGATAATAAGATTGTAATGATCATATCATTAAAATGCGATAAGTACGATAAATATATGCACTATAATGGGCCGGTATTTTATGGCTCACCTTTTTTATTACGATGCTCAGTATTTATTTAAACGTAATGTGTGTATTTATGTGTGCATGCATCTGACAGTGCGTTTGTCTTTCAACGTGAAAGAAGTTCGAAAAAACGCAAAGACTATTGATTAAGTTACTTATATTAGGATTAAAATTTAAATGAATCTATAGAATACCTCAAGAAATTACTGAAATAATGTAATATTAAAAAAATGTTTGCGTTTAGCTTTTTGTACGTTATTTTGGATGTGTTTAGTGAAATAATATCGATCAAAAATTATCATGAATTAATGAAAAATAAATCTGTGGCAAATAAATTTGATATAAATTATACACAATGTTATTCTTACTGTAATATCTAATCCTATAATTGCTTTAATTATCGAAATAAATCATTAAAGCAGCATTTCATGATAATGACGCGAAGGAATAATATGATAGGAAAAGAAATATATGGTACAAAAATATATGCGACAATTCTATTTATTTTTACTATTAATATGAATTTTTTCTACGATATTGTGTTTAAATTCACAATTTTACTCGTAAATTAATAAATATAATTATAAATTGACTAATATGTTTTGTGCACATTGCAGTTTTAAGTAAATTTTTATAAAAAATGTTATTAAAAATTTTACTTGTTTTTAATAAAACGATTAGCATCAATGTTAATTATTAATATAGTTTTGCGTTTCTTATATGATTTTATAAAAAATCAAAAACAAAAATAAAAAACAACTTTTTATTTAATAAATATTGTTATTGTTCTTGTGTTTGATGCAGCAAGTTGAAAGCCGAATATGACATCTTAAGTAACTGTAAAAAATTATAGATATATTTAAAGATATTCGAAACGTTTGCAGTCAGCAATAATTTTTATTTCAATTTATTGATACTGACGGCTACGAACGATTCAAGATTCATCGTGACAATATACGCGCTACTAAATTCGATGGGAAACGTCGAACGTTTCATAATTATTAGTAGACCTTTCTTGCTGCTATTGCTAAGTTCCAACCAATTCATATTATAAACATTATTCGCTAACTGAAGACTCTATAAATAAAAACATGAAAATATTACTAATTTCAAGAAGGAAATATCGTACACCTTGATCAAAAAGTTCCCGGAATTCATTCAGAAAATTCAAAATACAAGTTTATTCATCAAAAGTGATATTGTCCCCTTCAAAGTATTCCCCATCGATTGCAACGCACTTATGCCAGCGTTTGATCCAGCTCTCGAAACATTTCTGGAACTCTATTGTATAGCCATCAGAGCCGTCTTCGATTTTTCCATTATCTCCTTTCGGCTGTTAAAACGCGTTCCCCGTAGTGGTTTTTTGACTCGATCGAACAGAAAAAAATCGCAGGGAGCCATATCGGGTGAATTCGATGGCTGTTGGATGGTATTCGTTTCGTTCTTGGTCAAAAAATTTAATACAAACTCGTTGTTGCAAATTCAACTCCATTTTTAAAACTGTAAAAAATCGAAAACACGTGCAGAGGTAGATGTACTCAAGACGGCGTAACTTTTACAAATGTCAAGCTATGGCGATAAAATTTGGTGGAAATGTCAATGATAGATGTGGCAACCTAACCAAAAAAACGGAACTCAAATCAGCTGACTTAGAGCATCACCTAGTGGTAATTCCGGGAACTTTTTGATCAAGGTAGTATTTGTTTTAATTTCTTTTCTTAATCACTTCTCTCTCGTTATTAATTTAACTTGTATCTTATTTATATTTAATGATAAAATTAATTTTTGTTTTAAACGAAATATATATACTTTCAACTTGACTTCATTTCCAAACCAACAATAGATGAAAATCTGTGCCAACATGCAGCCTGTATACATCATCAGTGGAATAAATTTCATATACTCTGTTGCCATAGCTATTCGATATAAATTTGAGCATACCACCATCATGCTCACCGCGAATTGAACAGCAATTATTTTCGCGAACATGTCATTTATTGTGTGCGCATATCTGCAATTAGATAGAAGATTTTTAATCCACTATTCTAGGTATCTATTTCAATTATTTATTATCTGTGTCGAGTACACGTCATTAAATATATCTACTTAATGATCAATTATTAAAACAAGTGCAAAATATATCTATATCATAAGATTCGAGTCAAAATTGGAATCTGTGATATTTTACATATATTTTGTTAGCCAATAAAAGTTTTAAATATTTTTGTATTATTTGAATGAAAGGATATAGAAAAATTGTTACAAAAGAGATAATACTTTGTATTTCACGTATTTCAAATTCAAGAAAAAGAAAATTATTCAAAGAAACTAACTTAACTATATAATTGTGATGATTAATACAATCGCGCAGAATGTTTTGATTCTGATTGATATGTTTCAATCGATATTCCAGTATCTCGAATTGACAACATATGTGCAGCAAGAATCCGCAAACCAGACTCTCGCAAGCGACGTTTACTAAACCGGAAGTTGACATGCCTATCATTTGGTTAGTATATACGAAAGTAAATGCAATTGGGGTTGAATAATCGATCGGTATCCATGCTCTGTATGTTAAGTTTCCTTTTGAAAGATCCATGAAGATAGATGATATAATTACTACGACAACGGCTGAACCCACGAGGGTTAAATACCGCATCGCAACATTCCTATATAAAATGACCATAATTATACTCTTATTTGTTTTTTACTATTATAATATTTGTTTTTTAAATTGTACTCGTTATTTTATTTTTTAATATTTTTTTTGGTTTATTATAACCGAAGTATCTTATTCTTTCATATCATTACAAAATAAATTTATTTACTAATTCTTATTTAAGTAATGGAATATTTTAATTTATTTAAAAATAAATGTAAAGAATTTGTTATGCAAGTTGTGAAATAAATGCATTCAAAGAGAATATGTTTATTATAATTAAATATTACATAGACATACAATATTTTATATATATATATTTTATATATATATTTATGTATACACTTACTGTATTCTTTTATCAAATCGCTGTCGAATTGTTATTTCGTGGGATTCACTTGGTTTAAAAGGATTTTTTCGGAGAACGTTGACTAGCATTCTGACATTTTTACGATCTATCCACAAACAAATATTTTTATAACCCGCGACAAATACGGTCAACATCATGTATAATGAATCGGTGAGTTCGTCAGAGTTATCGACATTCAGTACGATATCCATAAATTGGGATATTGCAAATATATTTAATGAAAGGACCAGAAACATTGCGTAAGATTTGTAAATTATATGGTTCAACAAGGATGTCCATGAAGGCGGTTGCCAAAATCCAGCAATTGTACAGATAGTGAGGGTAAATTTCAGCACGTGCATTTGAACTGTTCTAATTCAATTTTTCCTACACAAACTGCTATTAATTGTAAGACCTTTCGATGTAAGAAATTTTGATTAAAATTTATCGGATAGGTGTAACACACATTACATTTAAAATAGTTAACATTTAATTTTCATGAAAACGTACTTTGGAATGTTAAAATTCGCGTACCGTGATACTTAATGAAGTAATTAAATCCGTCAATAAACAGAGAGCTTGCTTATTAACAGCGCGACTACACAGAACAGGAGCAGCATAGGCAATACTCTGAGAATTTAAAAGTGTCGTACCGACACAAACACATTTGAACAGCAAATTAATTAAAACGTGTTAATTTAGTGATAAATTGTGCACAATCTATTTACACGATTACGCCGATCAATATCTCCTTTTAAAAGGATATTTGAGAAAACAATATCGTTAATTATGACAGGTGCGTACCGAGTTTTAGCCAGATTCTTAGCCGGAATTTATATAATTATATTAGAAATTTAATATTCTTTATTTACATTTCTTATATAATATTAAACACTGTTTATTATAATTGAAATGTTATATTATAATCTCATTTATAAAGATTACATACACAAAGCAAATTTAATAAAAACAGTAAGAAGAATTATAAAGCTCGAGAGATATTAATTACAATACTACCTCGGAATTGTTATTGAAATCTTATTTTCAATTTTATTTTATTTATAAGAAATTTATTTTGTAAAAACTTTTTTTATATATTTTTCTCCTTTATGTAATTTCCGAATTAATTTCAAATTAGTTAATAAATAAACCTATTTTGAAATGTATATAAATCTTTTTTAAAAGTTAAATTTCTGAATGTATAACACGTATTACATTTTTATATTTTTTAAGTAATATTTAACTTACTGATTAATTCACTCCTTTGTATTTTATATTATCCTACATTTAACTACCTATCAAATATTTGCAAAATTAATATATTAAATTAACACATAATTAAAAAAATAAATATGTAAGTCGTTATATTAAACAAAAATAGATAGAGAGCAAAGGATTACAAAGGATCGAGATACACTGAATGTCTATGAGTCTTATGATTCTACTTTCGGTAGTGATGCTATTTGTAACCCTTACAAATATGTGTTTATCTTCACTTGGATTATTAACATAATATTGCATCTACGATAAATGTCAAAGAATATTTTTACGAACGAAGGCACAACGTTTTTACGAGATATATGCTTTATTGAAAAATTGCGTAATATCCCGTTATTTTACATAGGGATAGCGGTACAGAAGTAAGATAAATAATTCGAAAAAATAATTCGTAAATTCCTAGAATTTTCTTTAATAAATTATTAGCCTTCAACTACTTCCACGATCGATATAGTTTTCTTATTGTATGTACCTATGACAAAATATTTATTACTACCATATATTTTCGCAATATCAAGAAATGTATACCCTTAATATTAGTTAATAAAATAGTAATCGGAATCCATGAAATTTTAATACCAACCGGATACCTCGATTTTGCATGGTATACATTTTTATTACCTTACAGTTTATAACTCGGCTCTTATGCATCGAGATGCAATACAAGTCAAAGTATAACTGAAGTAAAGCTATATCAAAACGTTGTAAGTACAAAAATTGTGTATTTTATTACAGATGGATTGCAAATATACACAATATTGTATAGATGGATTGTAAATATTGTTCTCTCATACCTTGATCATACAATATCTGACGTGGAAAGTCAAATGCTGTGTACAGCTATAAGCGAAGAAAAATGGCCGGCGAGGCATGGGCATTTTTATTTGAACTAATATTTTTTTAATTATTTCAATTTTAATTACTTTAACATAATCTTTTTAAATTAAAACTTATTTAAAAATTAAAAATTTTTGTAAAGACTCATCTTTAGATATTACGGTAACTTTTTGTAAAATTTTTGAAACCATAGTTTTTCTTGTCATTAAAATCAGAATTTGACACCTCGAGAGATTCCTTTGTAAGTAATAAATCAGAATATTTGAATAAAAAGTAAATAGTTTTAATACTTTGTATTATAATATCATTACGTTAGGAATATGGAGAAATAAGGAAGAAAAAAACATTGCAAAAATGCTTGTAACAATTTTATTTTTAGTACTAATATGAAATTTTTTAGGTACTAACATGGTGATTTAATTTATGAAATTTTTATTTCTCTTTTGATGTCTCTCCCCCTTTAATGAAATTAATATCAATGAACATTTTTAGTAAGAATTATATAAGTTTCGTGAAAGTCTGTCTGGTTACTAATGAAGTATGAATTTTGTATTTAAAAAAATGAAATGTAAATGATAATTGTAAGTGATTTCATAACACGTTGAAAAATTACGAAAAATAATTTGTTAATTGAATAATAACTTTATTCATTTATTATTAATCTTGCGTTTGATGCAACAAGTTGAAAGCCGAGTATGACATTTTAAGTAACTGTAAAAATTGTAAATTGAAAGTTATTTGAAATAATTGTAATATATTTGGTAATAATATTTATCTTTGATACTGACAGCTACAAACGATTCAAGATTCATCGTGATTATGTACGCACTACTAAATTCGATAGGATTCATTGCGCGTCTCATGACTATTAAGAGACCTTTTTTGCTACTATTGCTAAGTGACGGCCACTTTATATTATAGATATTATTCATCAACTGAAGACTCTACGAGATACAAAAATATTGTACATTACAAAACACAAATATCATTCATCTCAATTTTATTATAAATATATACAACAGCTTTTTTATATTATTTATGGATGCGATCTACTTAACACTACTTCTTCGAAGTATTTGATTGATCAATCAAAGAATGCTTCAAAGCATTTGTGTCAAATAGACCGTAGCCTATAACTCTAATAATATACATATACAGGGTGACCCATTTTAATCTATCATCCTAAATATTTTCGTTCCCTTACATTTTACAAGAAAATGTTTCAGACAAAAAGTTGTATGGTTTCAAGGGGGCCATAAAATGGTACCATTGGTTTGACCTTGGATAGTCGCTTAAAGGTCACTTTCAATTTCTTAAATTAAACTCACTATTTTTCATTACATATTCTTATAGCTTACCTCGAGAGCTTTCCAAAACACTATAATAAAATATTTTTT